AATCTATCTACTGTATAATTAGGCAACTCACTTGCCATTTTTAGAAAATTTTATGCGAGACCTACAACACTCTTACTATTTTTTGGAAAGCCTTCACAATCTTTTGACAAGTGTTCATATTTGTATTAGTTTTAACTACCTCAAATAATATTTAGTTAGTTTATCGATAACAACTCAACACCCATTATTTAATATTTATTTAGTTTATCAATAACTACCCGATATCCATTATTTAATGATTTGACGCGTGTTTATCAATTGTGACTAATTTTTTTAATACAAAAAATTAAAAGTACTGAATGTTTGTACTTGACAGTATTTCTATAAAATTTTATTAGATTTATATGAAATGTTTTAATTTAAATTATTTATCTAATTTTCATAATTTGTACTTTATGAATTAAAATAATTATAAGTGTTTGTATGCTTCTTGCATGAATTTTATAAATTTTTTTATCTTAAATTTTTCACATAAATATTAAATCTTTATCTTAAATTTTGCACAAAAATATTAAATCTAATAGTAGTGAAATTAGATATAAGATATTTTAAGAACATGTGCAATGAATAACACACAAACATTCTTCGTAATAAATGAATAAATAAATAACATTATGTTTGTAAATATTTTTTTTTTTGCAAAATATTTGATCACGATTAAATTAATCTAATAAACAAATAGTATTATACATATATATGTAATATATGTAATAAATATCAGATTACATAATATAACGAGTATTTTGTAAATATCTTTGTATTTATTAGTAATATTGCGATAACATAAAAATGTGATGTAAGTGTTAAATGGTAGGTATTTAATTATTTTAGACGTATAAATCTATGTATGTTCATAAAATATTTTTTTAAATACGTAAATCAGTCACATATTTAACAACACTAAACAAAATTCCAAAATAATATAACATTTTTATTTTTTTTTTATAAAAATATTGACAAAGTCCAAAATAATATAGGATTTTTATTTGTTATAAAAAATATTAACACAACGCAGTAACACGAGTAACATATAGAAATTACAGAGCCCGACATATATAGCACTTTTTTGAAGTAGTAGATGAAATCTAGCCATCTTTGTAAGAAACATAAAATATAGCCATTTTGGTAGGCAAAAGTACCATTATACCCTTATTAATGTTTTACCAAACAAATTAAAAAAAAAAAAAAGAAAAAAGAGTCTCTCGGGCTCTGTACATTACGCACGCCGATCTCTCTCTCCTCTCCTCCATTCTTCTACGGCAAAGCCGCTGTAAACAGAAAAAAAAATCTCATCTCATCCCAAAAATCACTTAAAAAGTGATCTCTTTTCAGATATTTCTCCAAGATTACCAAGTGAATCCCTTTTTGAGAAGAAAAAAGGTACATATACATAAACCTAATTTTTTATTTTGATTATGTTACATAATTTTTTTTTTTTTGAACACATTCATTATTTTTGTTCCCAAAATTATTGATTTTTGTGTAGTAACATTTTATTTTGTTGAACTCACATTTTTTTGGAGTGAAAAAAATAGGGT